CTTCAGAGGAAACCATCAACCACCCCTCTTTCCTACAATGGCCAGCGACAAAAATGGAGATCTTTCTACATGGAGGGTCAAATAATTAGCATTGTCTCTACAGGGTAGCTCCCAGTGCCCAGACGTCTGCTTCCCAGTCACAGGGTTGTTTACCTGCAGGGTGGGGTTAGGGTTTCTCAAGTTTTGACTCACCTCAGAAATGAGGTTTGCCTGTGGCCTCCCCTCCCTGATGGAGTCACAGGCACACACCTGTTCTCAGGTGCTACTCCCCAGAGGGGGAGATGCAGAACCTGCCTTCCTCAGTGCCAGTACAGCTCCGGTGTGATCCTCTGGAGATGAATGAGCAGATGCAGGACCCCGGAGGGGCCGGGCCATTGCCCTGTGGCTGGCTGGGCTGGTGAGGGTGGGAGTGGGGACCACAGAGGTACACGTTCTCACAGCTTCTCAGGACCCGGCCTACCTGGAGGGGTTGTTCGACATAGGCTGATTTGAGAGGTGTCACAAAGTCTCCCTTCCTCCTTTGAAAGAATAATACACTGCCCCGGCCAGTCAGGTGTCTGAAATCCAGCCATTACTGTTTTAAGCAATTTGGGTCAGCCCTCCACCCCCAATCCCGGCTGAATTCCAAATCCAACCACCATTAGAGCTGGTTTTCTTATTTGGAAAATACATCATAATTACAATGAACTTTCTTCATGGCATATTGTGAACTCTGTCAGGGGAGGTGTTTTATAAGTTTGGTAGGGATTAATGACTAATGAAAAATGGACCTGTCCCTGGCAGTGTGGGAAGAAGATTCAGTCAGGGTCTCTCAGAGGAAGGAGGAAGGACAGGCATGGAGTGCAGGGAATCATGGAGGAAGGAAGGAGGGAGCCTGGAACAAGAAAACGCAGAGACCTCCAAAATCAGCACCCTAATTTATCCTCAGTGGAGCTGCTAAGAAGCTACCCAGGAGGTCAGTTCTTCAGTTGGCTGAAAATAGCTAAGTCAGGAGACCCATGATCCAACCCTGGCCTGGACATTAATCTCTGTATGATCTCAGGCAAGGCACATCCTCATTCCAAGTCCAGTTTTCCTCTCTATAAAACCAGGATATTATGTCAAATGGGGAAACTGACTGCCAAGGTTTTCAAAAGTGCAACGTGCTAAATGCGCACGAGGTTGACTGTGTTAGATGTTCATGATGCGGCAGACACAGTCTCTTCAAGGCCACCATGGTTAAGTCTGTATCTCCTGGAGAACCCTCCAAAGTGATGACTGTGTTCCTATCATAGACAGAATTCTTCAAAACTAATCAGGAGTTGTTTACTGATAAAGTAAGAGGCCAGTGGTGGAGTTGGGAAGAATAGAGAGGACTCAAGTTCATTCCCGAAGCCATGGGAGAGAGGAATGAGGGAGTGGAATTGGCCATCATTCGGAGGCCACAGGCACAGAGCGATGCTCTCCCGGTGCCAGGCTTGTGAATATGCCTCACTTGGGGCCAGGTCTGTCTTGCTGCCTAGGTCCCTGCAGGATAATTGAGGTCAGGATAAGCAGGAAGGAGTGGGAGAGAAGAAATGAAGTGGTACAGGTGGAGAGGAGAGGAAGACGGGGTGCAGGTGGAATGGAGAATGAGATGGAATGCAAAACCCCAAAGCTGAAAGCCAGGAAATCACATTTTTAATATCAATAAGCTGGGGAGTAGGAGGTAGAGGAGGCCTGGTCTGGAGGGGGAAATTAAGAGAAGGGTTAACTTTTAAACGTGGATGACTCTGAACAATGAGCAGTACCTGGTCTACCTGGGATGGAAAGTTCAGAAAAGCTTATTAGTCATGGTCCCCACCCAGTGACAACCATGCATCCATGGTGGAGATGCTGTGGTTGTACTGGAAACCTACTCTGGTCCAGCCCACCAGCACCACCAACCTTACCTCCACTCACTACATCTTGTGGGACATTTCATTTAACTCCTTTGGGCTGGGTTTTTACACTGTAAAATCAGATGCACTCTACGCAACATAGTGTTGTGGGATTAAATAGGGCAAGGAGTTTGAAAAATGCTTGGGAAAGTACACTGAGGTGTTTCTGTCATTTTCCAGGCAGGCTTTCACTTGGTTGTAGAAATGACAGCAATGATCCCATTGATGGCTTCTTATGGGGCAGGATCCTGAGGCTTGGGGTGGTGGCCAAAGGGCGATCAGCCTTCCAGAGCTGACCTGTGTTCCTCACCCCAGGGCCTGAGACCAAGTGCAGGGCCAGGGTTCCTTCCTCCCATCTGGGTACATCCTTCAGTAGGGTTGTTAGATTTAACAAATAAGTCTGCTGAGTATGGCGGCACATGCCTAGTATGCCAGCATTCTGGAGGCTGAGACAAGATAATCACAAGTTCCAGCCCGGTCTGGGCAATTTAGAGACTTAGTGAGACCCTGTCTCAAAATATAAAATAAAAAGTTTAAAAACGGGGCCAGGGATTTAGCTCAGTGTTTTTGCCCCCTGCTGCGCAAGCACAAGGACCTGAGTTCAATCCCCAGTACCAAAAATTAAAAAATAAAAAAGTGAAAAAGGGCTGGGAACATAGCTCAGTGTGAAGATCCTGGGTTCAGCCCCCATTACCAAACCAAACCAAACCAAACTGAACCAGACCAAACCCAGCCTACCCATTTAAATTTGCATTTCAGGTAAATGAATAATTTTCTAATGTATATGTGACTTGTGCAATAATCGCGACATGCACTAGAAAATGCTGTGGTTCACTCCGAATACAAATTTTACCCGGACTCCCATTTTCTGTGCAAGTCTACTTCAGGCACTGTGTTATCCTCACCCTGTTGGTGCACAGCCATCAGCAGCCCACCTCCCGATGGGCAGGTGGGGACAGCACCGCCACGTGCTGGGCTCCTTTCACATCTTCTTCGGCCACGGCTCCAGGGGAAGCCACGTAGACCTTTGCATGAACAGCCCCTGCAGACCAGGAAACATGTGGACCCTGGGTACTGGAGATAAGACTGGGTACAGATGGCTCCTGTGGCTGGCCACTGACTTCTCCCTCTATCATGGTTAAAAGTCTTTGAATCATCTAGGTTTGAATTCAAATCCCACGTCTGCTGTTTATTTCCTAAGTGATCTCTCTTAGCCTCGTTTCTCATCTGCAGAATGATAATAATGGCACTTTCTAGCTTGGCCATAAAGATGGAATGAAATAATAAGCATAAAAGTCATAAATGAGGCACACAGAGAGTAGGCAAAAAGGATAATAATTAGCAACAAGAGGATGTTCCTGCTTTTTGTCAGGATTGCTGCAAACTCTATCCTTCCCCTCTTTCTCCTCCTTCCTCAAGGTTTTTTTTTTACAGCTTTCTGTCTGAGAAGAACTCCTCAGCATTGCTCTGTTTTTAAAAGCTCTTGAGTCCTTGAGTTTGAGCAAATGCCTTTGGTGGGTGAAATCAGCTTGAGCACAGGGAGCCAGGGTGCTGGAAATGCCTGGTGGGTGGTTTGCATCAAAACAGGCCGATAAAGCAAGTTCCTGGAGGAAGTGCAGGCGGGAGAAGTGGGTGAGGAATTCTCTGTGAGGTGGCTAGCAGGGCCCTGCCAAGGGCCCTGGGCAGTCTGGGGGCCCTTATATGGGTGCCCGGATTGGCTGCTCCTAAGCAGCCCTCGGCCTTCTCTCCCAGGGCCCAGCTCTCTCCCCCGAGTAAGTGGGGGGACTGGTCCTTCTGGGATCTGCTGGGCTCTTTCCTTCTTCTTGGACTATCTGGAGCTGCTAGGCCAAGCTCCTGTCTCATTCTTGGGCAATCAGCAAAATGACACAGTCTCCTGACAATTATGGAAATGTCACGGTAACTATTATTGTGAAATGTAATCTCCATTCCCACACCATTGCTATGTATGACTTATTTCCTGATTCTGGGCTGGACTCCTCAACAAGAGGATTTTTCTCACTGAAAGACAACTATTTACAGCTGTGGCATTTTATAGCAATTTTGAATCTTACTTAAAGCTTTTTCATACTCAATCTTATCTTTTGGCTCCACAACAAGCTCGAACCTTGCATTTACGGAAGGCATATTGGATATTGTAGTTCATACTTGCAGCCTTCACACCTTACTATTCTGATTGTCACCTCTCCATGTTTGGGGACCTGTACTTCCTATCCATAATCACTAACGCAGAAGCCCGAGGTGTGCTGCCTGCATAGAAAGCCAGAGATACTCATTATTACCTATTCAATCTTTGCTTAAATGTTCAGGAACAGCAGGATGTGTCCAGGGATTCCTGGCAGTCAGTGGCCGGTTTGCATTAGAACCCACGCCTGAGCCTGCCTGGCTATTGTTCTTTGCTTTGAGCCGGGCCGTCTTTGGGTAAAACATTCTCCCATGGTCCTTTGCCTCCTGTGAGCTATCAGCCCCTGCCATTCTCCCATTTTCAACTCTCCTTGGAAGCCTAGAACCACCATCTTAGTCACAGTAAGTGACTCCCGAGCATCTCATGGTGAGTCAGAAGTGGAGTGGGCACAGCAGCCGGGCATCTGTGTTCCTGGTATCCTCTTTCTCCAGACCCATTGCTACACAACCCCTTCGTCTAAAATGGGCTACTCCTCCTCTTCCTCGAGCCCTTCTTTGCTTGTGCTCCCTGTCTGCCTCTTCCAAGGTAGCCAGTTGAGGTCTCCAGATCCATTAGCAAAGATAGAATGTCTTAGACTTGGAAATGCCTGGGCTTCTTTTTAATCCTAAACTCAGCCCCTCACCTTATTTCCTGGTAAGACTGGGAAATAAATCATGTGTTCAGTGAAGTCAGGAGTTCATGGGAGGATGAGGGAAATGGGGGATAAGACCAGTGTGAAAGCAGGAAGGGAGGAAGAGAGGGCAATCACAACGGGTTCAATGGAATCGAGGCTGCCAGTCACAGGTCACACACGGGGCAGTCGGAAAAGCCACCCCGCTAGGAGTCAGGGAGGAGCGACGGAAGGGGCCTTCTCATGATGTCACTGCACAGGTTTCCCCCGGGCGCGTCTCTTCCTTGAGCAACGTCTTCTCGGCAACAGCAGCGCCCAAGGTGCCCACCCCAGTAGCCCCAGCAGCAGCAGGTGAAGCAGTCCTGCCAGCCATCCCCAGTCAAGTGTCAAGAGACCTGCTCACCCCAAACCAAGGATCCATGTGCTCCCCAGGCCAAGAAGCAACGTCCACCCAATGGCATGGACCAGCAGGAGTGCCCCTCAGCCCAGCAAGCCCCCAAGAATAAACAGAAGTGAAGACACACTGGGCATTGCCACCTGCCCATCACCCAGGCTACCAGATGGAGCTGCCTCTTCCTCCTGCTCCTCCTTCCTCCAGTTCCATCTAAGCAGGAGCCAATGAAGCACTGCAAGAATTTGTTCCCATCAAACCACTCCACAAATACAAGGCTTCTTCTGTATTCCACATTGGATTCTTCTATGGGCCACCCTGATGCTCTCTCGGGTGGGCCTGAAAGAGACTCTATCCTCTCCAGTCTCTAGCTTTGCCAATGCTATGGCTGGATTCAGGTTCCAAAGCAAAGAAAGTATCTGGGCATCTTCTGGGCTTCTGCCCTGATAAAAGGGTAGAACTGAAAGACGGTTCTCAATCCCTCCCCAGTGCCCCCTCTCCGGCCTTCTCTCCTATTTCCCATGAGAAGACTTTTGTGTTTCTTTTAATAAAATTTGTCTCCTTCTTGGACTGACTTTCCCCTCCTCTTCTCAGCGGGATTCTGGGAACCAGTTATTGGTTTAGAGGTAATGTTTTGGGGAAGCGACCGTGTTCGTATCTGTCTGTGAGACTTCAGGGAGTCGCTCTGATTAGAACAATTACTCTCTGAAAGCTCATGATGGGGGAAAGTCGCATCTCTGATGTCAGACGTGGGAGAACAAATGCAGGGACAGGGAACAAGAGTCTGAGAGATTCTTGCTTAACTAAGCCCATCTAGGAAGATCAAACAGGAAGGAAACGTTTAGTTCCTACCATTGGAAATCCAGCCTATCTGATTATGTGGGTTTTGCCTCTCTCGGCAGCTGTCATTCTGAAATATCAGACAAAATATACATAAATGGCTTGAGTGCTGCAAAACATTTATACAGAAATGTGAAAATAACTTTTTCACGTACTAGTTTATTGTTTACTCATTTTCCATTCCCTTACTAGCACATTCTAGTGTGAATTTGGTTTTTCATTCGGCCAACCTCTTTTCCCAGAGCTACACTGGGACAATCTATCCTGAGTCTCAGTGTCCTCTTTGGAAGTCGAAGTCATTTTCTTACTCAAGAAGAACATTGTCCTGGAGATGGTGACATACAGAGGACTTGTACAAAGTGTACAGGCCGTGGTTTTGTCAGTTAGTCCAACTCTATGCCGCTTATACAAGAAGTTCGATTTGTGCAGTTGCTGTCCTCACCCTCCTAACCCTGGTGTGAGACTGGTCTCCCACACCAGAAAGAAGGAGCAAACCTCCTACGTGTAAAAAGAGATGAGTCTTTGAAGTAGAGACCCTGGGAAAAGTGTAGCTAAACACACAGCCAGACTCTCTACCTTTGGATTTTATTCTTTTGGGATTTTTCTCACTGAATTTTAGTTGTCACCATCAGCAACATCAACAATAAATTGCTTCTTCATTGAACATACTTGTCGGAAAAGGAATTAGCAACCACCTTCTCTGTTTACCCTTAGTATCACTGCCCGTGGCTGATAGTTTCAAGTAGTGATTGTTTAAAGGTGGGTAGAGATATTAACAAGGAAAGTCGAAGTGTTGCCAAAACAATATTTAGAAATGATTGTTTTTAACCCCAAGGAACTCTTTGACAGCCTTTCTGCACCCTAATCCCTGCATCCTGAAGTGACTCCCCTCTGTCACTCAGAGGGGCTTATGGCTGATGGCAGCCCCCTTTCTGGATTCCTTTCATCCAAGTCCTGCCATTGTCTTGGTCACCACTTGTGAGTGCCATGTCCCAGGAAGACCCTGACAAGTCCTCCCACTGACTTTTGGTTTCTGGGGCTGACAGAATTGCACAGTTCAGTTTCTAGGACAGCCAGAAACGATAGAGACAATGACTGTTTCTGCTATTGCTTGTGTTTCAGGTCACTAGCTCACTGGAGAAGGGAACATGCCCATGGGTTCCATCCCAAAGGCCAAGGACAGAGTCTTATCTGTCTAGGGAGTTCTGAGGACCCATTGCCTCATAAAAATGCTTTCATGTAATTTTGTCTTTCAAAGGTTTACAAAGCAAAATTGACCTATATCAAAATCCTACTGATACACGTGGTGAGAGGAGTGATTTCTTCACTACTGGTTCCTTTCTATGTAAAGCAAGATACTGCCAGAATGCAAAGGGACACTGTGTACTGTTTTGTTGAACTTCACTGACCAAAAGAGGACCCAAGAGCTCCCCCTAAATCCTGTATATTCCACAGTACAGATACTCTTCATCTACTCCAAATTTCCCTCACAAAACCCAAAACACATCATTATCCAACAATACCGAGTAATTTACTTTTCTCTAAATACAGTGCACATTTAGTTTTGATGCTTCTTGCTGTGTCTGTGTGTGTTTTGTTTATGCTATTCCTTTTGCCTAGAATATCAGTTTTCCACTTTGCTGCTTAGGATATCCTCTTAGTTTTAAAAGTTTGGTTCATGAATTTCCATGGAATCTCACTTAAGTTAGAAAGAACTGGTAACATCCATCATAACTTTGTGTAAATTTTATGAATATACTTATTTTATTAATTAAGTGTATAGTTATTTTCATTATAGTTCCCTTTTTTGTGGTACTGGGGATTGAACCCAAAGCCTTTTCATGGAGCTACATTCCAATCCCTTTTTATTACTTTTCTTTGAAACCTATCTTGCTAAGTCACTAAATTGCCCAGGCTGCGCTTGAACTTGCAATCCTCCTGCTTCAGCCTCCCAGAGTGTTGGAATTACAGGCACGCACCACTATGGCCAGTTTATAATTCACTCTTTGTGTGTCTAACTCCCCTATTTTATTATGAAGCCATCAGGCACAGGGACTTATTGATCTCACTATCCCCAAATCTACAGTGACTGGATTTCCAAAAGCATGGAAGAACTGCTTCTGGGGAAGAGGAGGGTAGCTTAGGGCAAACCAGCATTTTTGCATTAATCTGAACAAAATTTATAAGTGTTCTGCACTTAGCTGCTCTCCCAAAGACTCCAGAGAGAAGAGAGGCAGAGAGAGGAGCCAAAAACTGTTACCCTAGGATAATTGATGAATTATGAACATAGCAGAATAAATGTCTAGGCCTTTCACTGCGAAAGACCTTCACTGAGGACCGAGAAACCAAGAAGGTTGGTAGGTTCTTTGAGGGAACTCAATCAAGTGATGGCTTTGTCACCCAACACAAACTCAGTGAACCCTAGGAATGGTTAGGTTAGGATATTATGTACCTAAGCAGAAAGTCTCTGAGAAGCAGAGTCAAATATTTAGCAAGCTTAGAGTCGATGGTGAGCTTGCAACCTTCTGGAAGATTTAGCATTTCAAGAGTTAAGAACTTAAGGCCAGGGGAGAATCTGATCTGTGGAATAGAAGCCAAATAGTTGTCCTCTTTGAGGACACTCATGACTGGGAGGGGACAAAATGGAACTTCCTGGGGAAAACGTTTTAAGTGTCATGGATTGTGGTTATATAGGTACATAATTATATCAAACAATACAACAAGGTGTACATAAGATTTGCGCCATTTTGGGGTTAGTTCATCCTCAGTAAAAACAGAAGTAGCATTAAAATTGTACATACTGGGGCCAGGGATTTAGCTCAGTGGTTCTGCCGCCTGCCTCGCAAGTGCAAGGTCCAGAGTTCAATCCCCAGTACTCAAAAGAAAAAAAATTATGTCTATTATCTTAAGTAAATTTAATGAAAGTTACATGACATTTATATTAAAAATATGAAACATCACTGATAGAAAGAAATAATAAAGAGATATGTCATTTTCATTTATTGAAAAATTATTTTATAGAGATATCAATTATCCTTAAGTTGATCTAAGATATGCAAATTAGAATAAAGCCCTGATACCACTACACAGTTCAACAAATTGGCTAAGATTAAAAGGACAGACAATACCAGGTGTCAGTGTGGATTTGGATATTTAGGCACTGTCATAAATTGTTGATGACAATGTAAGCTGGAAATCCACTTTAGAAAACTATTAGACATTGTTTTATAAAACTAAGCATGTGCATCCACATCCCAGAAATTTCACTCTTCAGTATATACACAATGGAAATGTCTATATGTGCTTGATAAAGCACAACCACAAAAATGTTTATAGTAGCTGTATGTATTTGTAATATAATTCCAATTGAAGGTTTCTCAAACATTCATTACTAGTAGAGTGGATGTGATATATTCATACAATGAAATATCATGATTAGACAAACCACACTACATAACATTGATAGATCTTATAAACATTCAAGAAAATGGACATCAAAAGTACATATTGCATGATTTTTATGTAAGTCAAAATGACTGGAAGATGAACTTTAAAGGAACTTCGTAAAGTTTTGTCTGTATTTGGGAGCTAGTTAAATAGATAAGGTCACTTTGTGAAAATTATTGAGCTGTTTGTACTTTCCTATATATTATATTTGTAATAGAAGAAAAAAGAATTGAAATGTGTTCTGTACATGTACCAATTCCTTACAGTGAATGTGATCATGATGTAGTGTTAACACATACTACTGAAAGTAAAATATATATATATGTATATATATAAACATATATTTAAAAAGTACCTAGCCACATTTCCATCCTGATTGGTCCAAATGTTTTTCTTACTCTGCCTGCGTATACTTCCACAATTCCTACCTCATTGTATCTTCAAATCCCATCCACAACAAGTCAGTGAAATTAACGGGTTCTGGCCTTTTGAGGAAAATGTATCTGCAAAGTCCATAAGCACTGCAGGAGGGGAAGGAATGTTCACTACACTGTCTTCCCACCTTTTCTTCTCCTCCTCATTCCACTTGTCCAGAAATTCTCTCCACCCTAGGAAAAAACAAACAAACACTGTCCCTTCCCACCTGATACATCTGTCACAAACTTGGCTGCCTCATGTTCTCTAGCCCTCCTCTTCTGCCCAGGACCTTTAGGGGCCAACTGACTGGCCCTGGTGATCTGCAGTGAAGCTTTTCAGACCAGATATTCATTTCCTTTGTGAAACAGGTTTTGTAGCCAGGCTGAACAAAGTTGAATCTCAGCTTCTCCATTTCCATGCTATGTGATTGTATCTAGTCACTTAGGT